CTCTCTCTCTCTCTCTCTCTCTCTCTCTCTCTCTCTCTCAAGAACGCCTCGTTTTTCCAGTGTGAAAATAATTGATTTTACTTCAGACAAAACAAAACAAAATCAAAGCCGTAACACAAACAGAACGCGAGGTGATCAGGTCCGAACTTTTGAATAAATGAGCAAGTATTTCAGGATATTATGAATAGCTATTTCATTCGCATCTCACTGATCTGACTGTTTGATCAAACGATGTCCTCCTTTTATTTTATATCACTTTATCTCACACTTAGTATATAGACGTACGCATTCTTCTCTTCGTATTTTCTTAAGTTTCAGATTGTTTTCAACTACCTATTCTTCATTTCCCGAATTCCTTTTTTCCCTCTTGCCATAAATTCCTATTTTGACGTTTTGTGCGTTAGTGCGTGCCATTTCTGTTTACTTTCATTTTTTCTAGGTTTTAGAAAGTGGGAAAAGTGTAGGTATTACTACCTCGGCCAGAAGTGTGTTTATTATAACAGAATAGGTAAATGCAAAATGAAGAAGAAAAAAAAGCTCTTCCCTTTTCAGCAACTACCGTAGTCAGAAGGAGATCAATCAACTCTACAGTGACAGTACCTGGGGAAAATGCCTATACAATAAATATTTATACCACTGTTCAGGCTTTTGCATTTGCTGCTGCTGCTAATCCTTCAAGAAATACCACAACAACAACCATCACTACCACCACAGCTTCCTCTATGATACCACTGCCAAATAAATAGTATCATCGTCTACAACACAGTATCGGTAAAGGAAACAATAACGTGTATACACACACGTACAAATAAAAGAAGGACACGCTCTCCACACGGAAGACATTACTGAGATCAATGGAGAATCGATTCTACGACAGAAAAAGCTGTCCCTTGTGCCTTCCATTTTCTTATCATAAGAAAATAATATTGCTCAATGCTTTTCTATTTCCAGGTTCCTAGACGTTTAACCATCCACACACAGCATGTCTTGGGGATACAGCAAAGAAGATGGTATGTGTTTCTTACATCAATCAACAATGTGTATGCCCGTTCGTTTACGTACACTTTAATGTAATAATAATAATATGGTCACAGTTTCGTATTTTCTGTTGCAAATCTTTTCGTAGGCATATTATTATAGATACATGTATTATTGTGATGACTATCGCTAGTTGTACTTTCTCTTGGTGGTTCTCTCGTAACAAATCTTTGAATGCAGCTGGCTGTGTGACGTGCCAGTGTGTGTTTTGATTTACCTGTGATTTGTTTGAGCTTTCTGTTTTGATGTGGTTGCCTCTGTAAGGGATTTTTTTTTCTGAGAGTCCTTTTTTTTTGCTTCAGTTCTCTTTTAGTTTATCGTTTGGTTTTTTTCGGTCGGTGGGTAGATGTTCTTTATTCCCTTTCATTGCTGTTGTGATTGTTGTTGTAGTTGACTTTTCGTATGTTAGTAAATTTGAGGGGAAAGGGAACTAGCTATTTGCTGGTGGGGGAGG